CCCCCCCACCACTCCAGCAGCCCTGTTTGTTCCGTGAGATTAAGAATTCCTCATATCATTGAGATTGTATGATACATGTCTTTCTCTGATTGACTTATTTAGCTTAGCATAATACCCTCCAGTTCCATCCATGTCGTTGCAAATGGCAAGATCTCATTCCTTTTGATGGCTGCATAATAATCCATTGTGTATATATACCACATCTTCTTTATCCATTCATCTGTCGATGGACATCTTGGCTCTTTCCATAGTTTGGCTATTGACTATCATCCTCTTTTGATAGAAGAGCAAACCAGCATGGTCGTTTATTTAGGTCGGAGCTTGAAGTCAGCAGAGCCTTGAAATTTCTCACAGGCCTCAGGTCACACACTTGGGAATAATCCATTAGTGCTGTAAATTGCGTTCTTAAACCTTTTTTTCCCTTTGAAATAACTTGGTGAGGCACAAAGTACTATTCTTAATTTCAGATGTAGAAACTGAGATTCAAGGGAGGTTAAGTTTTCTTCCTACAGGTTACTGAGTTCGTAAAGGGCCAAGTGCTAGGACTCCAGTCCAGGTGTCTTTTATTTCTTAAATCCCAGAATATCTACATGAAACTCCTCTCCTGCTTCGGGACTATGGCACTTCATGCGTCTTTTGCTTGGAAAGGCTGTTCCCCAGAAAGCCATATAGACTGAGTGCCTCATCTTTCAATGCTACTTCTTTGAAGAAGCGTTCCCTGGACCTTCAGTGTAAGATAGCAACCTCCATTTCTTTTCTCTCTGCCCTCCTTCTCTTGCTTGGTTTTTCTCCAGAACACACTGTTGAACACATTTTACAATCACTTGTTCATATGTTTATCAGTGCACTCCTACTAGAATTCGAACATCCTAAGAAGTATTTTTGATTATTTGCTGCTGTAACCTCAGCAACTAAAATGGCCTTGAAATAATCTTGGATGGAAATTCCATAATAATTTAAGAGAGGTCTGTCTTCAGTTCATAGGACCTTTGATTTAGCTCTTCCACAGCCTTAGTAAAGAAGAAAAACAGACCTTTGAATGGGTTGCATGAAATAGAAAACAAAGAAGCTGCACATTAAAGCATGTGTATGTTGTTTAAAACAAACTTTGTTCCTCTCCCTGCTTTATGTAAGTTTGCATAGTGACACAATTGGGACAAACCCAGTCCTTTTAGCTTTGAATCTAGCTTCTTTAGGTTATTGTCTGCCCTAGGAGTGAATCAAGGAATACCTTGGAATTTTCTTGCAACTTTTAGGAGAATGGTAATCAGGAATACCTCACAGACACTTAGAGGTTGTCTAGATAGACTGTGATAATACATCTTATAGCATCCCAAAAAAGTACTTTCCACTTAAAGATCTGCTGTTATAGCTCCCATCTTCATGACAGCCCCCAGTTGATCTTTTCTGTGAGACAAATGACTGGAGAAGAAGTGTCTCTGGCAATTGCAGTCTGTCAGTATAGGGCTTCTCTATTTATTAGGTAAGTTTGTGTACTTCCTGTAGTGAGATATTTGCAGCCTACCATGCAGATTATTAGAACCTACTAAGTAAGGCCTAGCTCATAATGGGACATTCTGTAAATGTGCAGTGAAGTTAATATTTCCTAACCCTGCTATAATTCTCTCCACCAGCATGCTAAAATTGTCCCCTTAGCCTCATTATTTAGAAACTCTTGTGCTTTTTAGTAATAAATTCTTTAAAGATGTGTTTATTAATATTTCTAAGATGTAGTCCCCACCCTCAGGAGCCTAGAAGGTTCTTAAGGTATACACAAAAAGCTAGAGGATTTTGGCTGACAACATAAAAATGACTAATACTCATCGAGTGCTCACTCTGTGCTAGGCACTGCGTATGATTTATCTCATCTAATCCTCATAACAACCCTGGGAGCAGGACAGGGTTGGTTGCTAGTTTACTTACTATCCCCATTTTTATAGCTGAGAAAACTGAGGCTTAGAGACATGACTTATGATCACACTGTAAGTAAATGAGCCTTGGCCTGTTTGATGTTAGTATTGTATGTAATTATATAGAGAATATTGAGAACGTGTAACTAAAATGTGTCCTGCAGATTATGAGGGTGCTAGAGAAGAAAGAGGGGAGCACCAAGAGCTGGAATGGTATAGATGACATTTTGGAAGGCTGAGGTGAATTTTGAAAACTGGGTGGAATTTGGAGGTCAGCTTTTGTAATTGGGTATATCGGGTGGCAAGACGGGCCACAAAGTCTTTTTTTTTTTTTTTAAGATTTTATTTATTTATTTGACAGAGAGTTAGTGAGAGCAGGAACACAAGCAGGGGGAGTGGGAGAGGGAGAACAGGCTTCCCGCGGAGCAGGGAGCCCAATGCGGGGCTCCATCCCAGGACCCTGGGATCATGACCTGAGCCGAAGGCAGACGCTTAACGGCTGAGCCACCCAGGCGCCCTGGGCCTTGAAGTCTTCCAAGTGAAGGAGGCATGTGTATGTACAGAAGTGTGTGCATGAAGATACATCTAGGGTGAGGGCCAGTGGAGAGGAAGCATTGAGAAGAATGTTTTCGCCTCATTTCCCGCAATTTTGAAGATTTCATTTCTGGTGTCAGAGACTTAGAAAACAGAAGTTTGGCAGTAATAAAGAGAAGGAGATATTGGAGAAGATGAGACTGGTAAGTAAAGAATAGGAAGGCTTGAGGATGCAAAAGGAAAGACAAGCTTTAAAGAGTAAGAAACAAAAGAATCCCAGGACCCTTGACAGTATCAAAGACTTCAAATTACTAACAGTAAATTCTGTTATGGCTTATACATAGGCCTTCTTTTTAGATTCCTTTGGATGTACTCTGTGTAGACAAATAATAAGAAAATGAAGAACTCATGCCTGAAATGGAGTTAGTTGTTTTTTTCCCCTTGTTTCAGGAAATCCCAGATGAAATTTGGCAAAGTGGGTCCAATTGCTTGTGTTTCTGCTTTTCTTCACTTTGAAATACAGTCTTTAGACTTTTATCTTTTTCTATAGTTATAGATTGTCCATTTCACTATGGAAAAATATTCTTATAATATCTCTGAAATGCTTTAAATTGGCCCTGGATGGGTTTTGACCAGAGAATTTACAGCCAGATACTTCTGTAGGATCTTTTGTCAATGAATCAGTTATCAATCTAGGTCCATTCAGATAAAACTCTGCAACAGAGAAATCATTATCACAGCTGGTGCCTGCATTGTAGACATTCTTAGCTGAGAGAACAAGACTGTGCTGATAAAACTATGCTCATTCCTAGAGATTTCCAGTAAGAATTTGCATAAGCTTTTTCCTTCTTGGGAGAGAAAATTTTTAAAAACCTCACTAGTTTTAAAATTCACTTGAGAACGCATTAGAATTTTAAAAATTGAAAGCACGCATGATAATTCTTAGCAAATCATTTCTGTTGTATACATAGTAAATATGTATATTTCCTCATTCCCAAATTTCAGTGATTTAAAGCTCACAGAAATCCTTTTGTCTTAAACTGATACCCTTCCAGCTGTGTATAATTTAAAAGGCTTTTTTTTTTTTTTTTTTAATCCTGGTTCCTTGATTTCCCAGCAGCTTTCAGTTTACTCACTAGTCTCTCTGTAACTCTTTAGCTCAGGCTTTTCTTGAAGTAGGAATTTTCTCTTTCATAGCCCTCCTGCCTGTTTATTTTCTCCATGTTATCTCCTCTTTTTGCTCTTTGGACCCTATAATGTTCTCAGTCCACTATTGAGTAAGCAATTAAGAACCTTCTTAATGCATACTTGACTACTTGGAGCATTGTATTCTGCAGTTCCCATCTTTTTGTGATACTCTGCGACTGTGTTTACTAAAAACATTTGAGCCTTTTTGTGCTGGCCTGTTTTCTTCATCATTATTGTTTGCTGTATGCATCCACATGAAAATTTATAATTTCCTTTGAAAGAACAAGGGTTGCAGTTTTACCACATTGCAACTTCTTTGCTTCAGGATCTAATGATATGTAAAGATATTGTC